CCAAACCAACATTACTTATTTCAAAAGCACTGACCTAAAGAAGTGCTCCTGCCTTTTTAACCAAGTCCTTGAATTTGGAAGCCAAGTATAGGAGTATATATATATATATATACACAACAGACATTAAAATGAAGGTGTAGAGAAAAACCAACACTATTATTTAACTCCTCATTTGTTCTTTTTTTTTTTTTTAACTTTTCCTAAATTAGGCTGAAATGTCTTCTTTTAGCTTATGCTCCTAAGAACTGAAAATACAACCTATCTCACAAGTTTTTTACATATGAAAATACTCTGTAAATTGTAAATCCTGACACAAATGGTACTTATTGGTATTGAACTTCCACTCTTAAATCATACATCTATCCCTTAAATAAATATACAGAAATAGTAATAATTTCTATCATCTCCTACACAATTAGGTTTCCTTGAAGTTCTATTGAATTACCACTACTTTATTCACATGCAGTTTCAGCAAATTCCAATATGTTGCCCTAAACCTAACTTTTCTTTCTTATAGTTCTTTTGTACTCACACCTAGCTAAGTGGTCCTAACTAGCAGACCCCTTCATCCAATTTACAAATTTCAGCTATTTTCTCTGATATGACACCCTAAATCTAGAAAACAGTCATGTTTATGAAATAACTTCTCTCTTAATTTCTTTCTCAAAAATTTAAATTTCATTTTCTCTACAAAATTCTCCCTACTAAGGTAAAAGGAACCAAAATGCAAAGTCCAAAGTTTAAATTCAAAGATCACTGCTTATAATCTAGAGTCAAATATCTATATTATAAATTGAATCTTTCTCTATTTTTTCTGAAGAAACTTAAGATTGTTTAGATCTTCTTATAAGTAAATATAAAATATAGGCAAAACAATTCCGTAGACATTTTTTATCCTCACCCAAAGATATCAAATAAATTTTATTTTTGTCTTTGGCATGAATCCTATATAAACTGCAAAAAAATTGAATTGCTTTCTTTGAGCTATTTTTTACAACTGTACATTCAACTGCATCAATGTTCTGTTTAAAATGTAAATAAAAGCTGAGATAGTGGCACATGTCACTTGGAAGGCTGAGGTAGGAGAATCATAAGTTTGATGCCAGCCTCAGTGACTTAGCAAAGCCCTCAGTAATTTAGAAAGCCCTTGGCTCAAAATAAAAAATAAAAAGAGCTGGATATGTAGCTCAGTGGTAAAGAGCCCCTGGGTTCAGTCCTCAGTACTAAAGATAAATAAATAAATACAACTAAATAAAATCAGGAATTTGAAATGCATTGTAATAAAAAAAAAATTGCTCTTACTCCATTAATTCAGATAATTCTCACTTCAAATTCCTTGAATTAAAAACAAAACAAAACAAACCCAAAAGGGTTTGTTTACTCTTCCAGTCAGTGGTATGAACATGACACAGAAAGCTGAACTCACTAAAAATGCCTTTCCTTGGATTATCTCATTTGTTTCTCAAAATAAATCCAGAAAAAAAAAAAAAAAAGTTAAATGACACTCATTCCATAAACAGACAGTAAAACTCACCCAATGTCACAAATGAAATAACTGAATCAAAGCCCAAATCTGAGTCCAACTTTTCAATAGCTGACTTAAAAAGGGAAGGTCAGCAAAGTTCTCAAGTAGCATTTGCTTTCATTACTGTCATAATTATACATGGTGCCTCTATTTTTAAAGCCCTCAGCAGAATATAAATAAATATGCCAAATTTTCCTTCCCCTATCCATAAATTTTCAGATTCCATTTTCAAGTATATCAAAAGATTTTCTAGTAGTAGAAACATGAAAGCATTTATCACTGGTTACAAATCATTTATGGTTTTTAAATAATGAATCACACCAGACTTACCGAGACAACGTTGTTTTCCCAGAACCAGGCAGACCCCTTAAAAGAATCAGTAACTTCTGCAATTTATTTAACTTTTCCTCTTGAAATTGCTGGTTCACAAACCTGTCCATTCCACTATGTTTGTCCATAGAAGGATCTTTCCAGCATCCTTCTCTGATTTCACAGAAACTGTTACTCACATATCCATCTTGCACACTGCAGCCATTTCCAGAGTGAACACTACTGTTATTCTCACTACAGTCAGTATACTCATTGTTCTGATCAAAAGTCAAACAACTCCAGTTAACATGACAATTATGTACATCATACCCATTTTGCATATGAGAGTCATCTTGGGCATGGAAAACATTTGGTGGTAGATTTGGAGGAGCATTGAACTGTTGAATATTTAAGTGATAGTTAAAACTGGGAAGAGGAGGACCATGGGGTACTATAAAAGGATGTGTTGATTGCCATTCAGGCCTGAAGGAAGCAAATGAAATATCACAAAATGCAGGAATTACTTGTCCATCAAAGGTATATTTGCCTGCCTCATTCCCCAAGTACTGCTGATAACCACAAGGCAACTCAAGAGCATTCTTAAGATCTTTATTTTCTTCATCAGATTTTAAGACATCATTTTTATGGCCCTGGTAATACTGAATAAGTTGTTCCTGAGAAGGTTCAACTTCCTTACAACTGACTTCCAAATCATCTTTTTCATTTTCAAGTTCTTCAATTTCTTTGTAAAATTGGGTTAGTTCTGTGTCAATCTCTGATTTTTTGGAGTTAAACTTCTGTTTCTCCTCTAGTCTTCCCTTGTCATTTACACCACTCAGAGTATCTGCCTTATTCCTCTTTTCACTACATTTCCTTTTCTCAGGGGGTTTGTAAATGGGTCCTATAAATGCCTTACTTGTGCTATATATCTCATCATCTCTGGATACTAATGAAGGGTTTCCATCCTGTAAAACTTGCGAACCAATGGATTCAATAACATCTAGTCTATCGCACACAGGTTTCAACAACTCTGTACTTTGAGTTTTGTCCTCCTGAGGATAACTATGTCCTCTGGCATCAATGATAGCTGCAGTATCCTGATTGTTTCCAGTTTTCTCTTGGATTCTGTGAAAAGAAGCACTACCATGATCAGGGAAAACATAATCCTCCGCAGTTGACTTCAATTTTTTATAGCATGGCTCATTTGTTAATTCTTCTCCAGGTCCCAAGAATTTAGCTTCAATTTCACCATAAGGCATCTGAGGAGTAAACATATTATACACTTAATAGCTACTATTTTAAAACTCTTAAGTTTCTTCATAAACGAAGAATTAAAGATATTTAAATTTGTGATAAAAGTATTTAAAGGTATCATCTTCCCAAAATATTAATCAATCAATCAATTGTCCAAGGAACTGAGCAGACGCTTCTCAGAAGATGGCATACATCAACAAACACATGAAAAAAATGTTCAACAGTCTCTCGCAATTAGAGAAATACAAATCAAAAGTACTCTAGATTTCATCTCACTCCAGTCAGAATAGCAGCGATCAAGAATACAAGCAACAATAAGTGTTGGCGAGGATATGGGGAAAAAGGCACACTCATACATTGCTGGTGGGACTGCAAAATGATGCAGCCAATATGGAAAGCAGTATGGATATTCCTCAGAAAACTTGGGATAGAACCACCATTTGACCCAGCTATCCCTCTCCTTGGTCTATATACCCAAAGGACTTAAAAAACAGCATACTACAGGGACATAGCCACATCAATGTTTGCAGTAGCACAATTCACAATAGCTAAACCAGGGAACCAACCTAGATGCCCTTCAGTAGATGAATGGATAAAGAAAATGTGGTATATATATATACAATGGAATATTATTCAGCATTAAAAGAGAATAAAATCATAGCATTTGCATGTAAATGGATGGAGTTAGAGAATATAATGCTAAGTGAAGTTAACCCATCCCAAAAAAACAAATGCTGAATGTTTTCTCTGATTTAAAGATGCTGATTCATAATGGGTTTGGGGATGGGAGGTATGGGAGGATTAGATGAACTCTTAGGGCAAAGGGGAGGGAGGGGAAGGAGGGACATGGGAGCAGGAAAAATAGTGGAATGAGATGGGCATCATTACCCTAAGTACATATATGAAGACACATGCAGAAAAAAATTAGTCAAGTTATAATTTCACAACCACTTATTTAATGTTATAATAATTTATGGAAGGGTGTCTCATTAAAGGTAAGTACTTTTTTTTAATATAACCTATCTTTAAATTATCCATTTATGAATTCAGTGAGCTTAACAATTTAGATTTGGAAAAGCAGAATCAATAAAATACCTTTATGACATACATATACAAGAGTAAAGAGAATAAAACTACATGCCTATAATCCCAGCAGCTCTGGAGGCTGAGGCAGGAGGAATATTAATTCAAAGCTAGCCTCAGCAAAAAGGGAGGCACTAAGCAACTCAGTGAGACCCTGTCTCTAGATAAAATACAAAATAGGCTGGGGATGTGCCTCATCAGCTCCAGTTACCAAAACAACTGCCAAAAACCGACATTTATATCCTGTTTAAAAGCATTATGCCTTTTGGTTATATGGCTCCAGCTTCCAAACCTCAATCACATCTCTTTAGCAACCAAACTTAAGATTGTTTCTGTGGGCCCTTTTCCTGTGGGTAGTGTGAAAATTTTCCCTGATAGGTGTAGGGTGGTAACTGAAAGACGGGGAAAAAAGGATAACTTCAGTTGCATTGCTCTGATGGTGATGCAAACATATTATACTTAGAGAAGAAATCTGATAACTCCCCCAAATTCAAATGGTCTCTTTTCCAGTTAGTTGGTCTACCTCAAAAATAAACTTTGCTTTTTTTGAAATTTATGAGGAACCCCAAAGTCTGCTTTGCTCCGTACATCTCTGGTGTTCCTCAGTAAAGAGAGAAAGAAGTAAAAGGCAAAAAGTTGAACGAGAGACTAAAGCAGGCAGGCCACTGAGGCTCAGGAAAGCTACAAAACCAGGACAACCCAAGCCTCCCGGAAACAGTCCCCGTCCCCGCCCTCGATCCGGAGCCACCTCTCAGCTTCCCCTCCTCATTAAAAACGTCAGAAGAGTCTCGAGGAAGAATAAGAGGGTCGCGTGAAGAGTGTGACCCATTCACAACCTAGGCCGCGGTCCCACGGCCTCCTGACCTCCAAAGAGAGCTGCCGGGCCCAAAGTGCGTCGCCCAGTTCCTCTGCTCCAACGGAGACAAGTTCGGGTCGTGTCTAGGGATTTTGAAGGCTTCTGGGGCTCCAGTTCACTCCAGACTCCTACCTTAACAGTTAACCTAAGGGTTCCGGCCAAGTCAGCGACAACCCCAGTCGCTAAGGGCAAAAGCAACAAACCCAAAACGCCACCAATCCAACCTCATCTAAAATGGGGTGTCTACGTACCTTATTTTACAGCTCTGAATGGACCTTTACCTGCCCCCCCACCAAAAAAAACAAAAGCATCTCCCACAGAGACACGAACCTTTATAAAGGTGAAAGAAACGCCGGGACACGGCCACAAAGCAGAAAGCTGAAGAGAATAAACGCTCCGCCGTCAGGATAAGGGTAACGAGCCGCACCTCCGTACGCAAGATGGCGGCCACCGCACGGTTTCCCGGGCAGGAACTACAGATCCTCGCCAGGCACTGTGGGAATTGAAGTCCGGTATTCCCACAGATGCTGTGAACCTCACAGCATGGAGACTCGGTCTCCCAGAATCCACCGCGTGACATACGCACTTGGTGGTTAACAAACGTAGACCGGAAGGAGTTCCTATATCTGGCGCTGGGAAGTTATTTGAAAACATCGACTTTAGTTAAAAAAAAAAAAAGAAAGAAAGCAGTTACGCCCTCTGGCTTTCAACTCTAAAGGGAAAGAGAAGAAGGAGTGCCCGGATCCGGTTAATAAACGCACAAGTTCCTCTGCGGCAGTCGGCTTTTCAAAGAGGACGAAATGTTTCGTATTGCAGAGTTGAGTTGCCCTCGTTTTTAGGAAAGACCAACAAGGCAAAATTTTAAGTTCATGCTCTTCTGGCGAGGGAGATAATCCCTGCAGTGTAGGAAATCAAAACGTAAAAACACGAGAAAAATCATTTAGTGTCTTTAGTTTGGGAAAATAAAGACCACTTACTAAATTTTCCCATTAAAAGAGTCAATATGTGAAAAATTCTTAGAATAGCGAACTTCTGGTAATAATAAGTGCTATACAAGTGTTTGTCAGTTCTTCAGCCTTATTTTTAATTTAACAATCTTCAATTGAGGAACCCTTTTCTCTTCAGCCCACCTCCCACTCCCACTAGACTGCCCTTCAATCCCTACTTCCCGTTATTTGGGGACCCTACAAGGCTCTAACTAATTTTTTCATATTGAAATAATTTTTTCTGGGTTCCCAAAACGATAATATTGCATTTGGTGGTTTAACATCTTTGTGACCAAGATGACTCACCAAAGCTATCTATCCCTTTGCAAAGAAACTTTCTCAAACACAAATTCCCACTAAAAGTTTTTCTTATGATTAGATACAAATTATGCATCTTCCTTTGAAACAACCACGTGAGACTATGGCCTTCTCAGTATCACAGAGTCAAAGAATGTCTATCCATTATAAGGTGATACTAACCTTTTTTACCCCACCAATGTATTGTCAAGTTCCTCCAACTTAATATTTTCCCCTTGCAACAAATAAACAATCTGTAAGGTAATACTTACAGTTTAAGATTAAGGTAAGACCAAACAAATATCCAACTTCTAATCAAGCTTTGCCTTATGGTTTAGATTCCTATGAGTGTGTCTGCTGCCAATCTCATCATGATGGTTACAAGATGTTTTCTTTTCCCAACTTATTCAAGCCCTCCATATTCATCAACTCAGGTGCTGCTACAATGATGAAACTTGTGTGTTAGTTAGTTGTTTATGACTCTAACCAAAATACCTGACAATAACAACTTAAAGGAGGAACCATTTATTTGGGCTCAGTTTCAGTCTTTGATGGGTTGACTTCATTGCTTTGGGCCTGAGGTGACCCAGAACATCATAATGGAAGATTATGGCAAAGGAATCAGCCAATGACATCCAGGAAGAGGCAGGAGGGAGTGAAGAAGAGAGTGATGGGGACAGGGGCAGACCAGGAATAAGATATAATCCCAAAGGGGATGCCCCAAGTGACCTTCCTCCAACCATGTCCCACGCGCCTAAATTTTCACATCTCCCAGTAGCTCATTCAAATTATAATCCATCAAATGGATTAATTCACTGATGTGGCCATTCTTGCCTCATTCCTAACCTTAGAGAAAATAGTTTTTAGTGTTTCTTCATTAGCTAAAATCTGAATTTATGATTGAGGTATATATTTATTTTATAATGTTAGAAAGCATAAACCCATTCATATTAATTATTATCTAATACTGAGCCATCTTTTTCCTTCTTTGCATAAAAATTACTTATTCATATATTCTTAATTAGAACTGTAGATCATTCACAATATTTAGGATTTTTGTATTAATATTTGTATATGATATTGGTCTATAATTACCACTTTTATATCATATCTTAATCAGGTTCAGATGTCAATGTTGTTCTTGCTTTGGTAAACTCTCTCAATACTATCTGGGTCTTGTACTTAAATGGAATGATTTCCTTGACATTTTCTTTTTTTCCCCCCCTATGGAAACCGGTAATCTAATCTTTCTGTCTTTATATGCTCAACTTTAGGAAACTATTTTTCCTGTTAAATTATTTCATCTAAGTTTTCAAAGTTATGTATATATGAAAGCATAATATAATCTCTTATGATGTATATTAAAATAATTTCTTCACTATCAATAGCTTTTTTTTTTTTTTTGGTACCAGGATTGAACTCAGGGGCACTCTACCATTAAGCTACATCTCCAGCCATATTTTGTATTTTATTTAAAGAGGCTCTCATTGAGTTGCTTGGCACCACCTTTTTGCTGAGACTGACTTTGAACTCATGATCCTCCTGCCTCACCCTCCAAAGCCACTGAAATTGCAGGCATGCACCACCTTGCCTGGTATCATTTCTTATATATTTATGTTCTTTCCCTCTTTATCTTGATTTACTTGCTAGAGATTTATCTATTTTATTGATCATGTTCAAAGAACCCAGACTTCAGTTTATTAATTCTATGTCTAATTTTCTTTTACTCAATTTCTGCTTTCATTTTTATTATTTTCAACTTCAACCTTTCATTTAGTTAACATTGCAGTACTTTTTAATAGCTTTTTGAATTGGAGAGGTAATTCATTTTTTTTTTAATTTTTAAACTATATTGATGCAGCATTTAAGGCTATGAATTATCTTCTTTTTTTTTTAAAGAGAGAGAGAGAGAGAGAATTTTAATATTTATTTTTCAGTTTTCGGCGGACACAACATATGTGGTACTGAGGATAGAACCCGGACAGCACGCAAGCCAGGCGAGCGCGCTACCACTTGAGCCACATCCCCAGCCCATGAATTATCTTCTGATGATTACTTTAAATGATCAAATATATTTCAATGTGTAATGTTTCATGATGATTACTTTTTACTAATCTGTAGTTTCTCTTGCATTTCCTCTTTAGGCAGTTTCTATTTATTTATTTTTAATTGTAGATGGAAATGATACCTTTATTTAGTTTGTTGTTGTTGTTGTTTATGTGGTGCTGGGGAATCAAACCCAATGCCTTATGTGTGCTAGGCAAGCACCCTACCACTGAGCAACAACCCCAGCCCTTAGCTAGTTTTTTAATTAAAACTTTTTAAATTTCTAAGGCGAAGATTTTTTTAAACCTCATTTTAATTTCAACTTTTACTGCAAAATGATCAAATAGTATAGTTTGTAACATTTTTTCCATTATGGGACTAATGGGGTACTTTCTTTGTACCCCAAATATATGAAAAATTTTTGTGACTGTTCCACAAGAGCTGGTGAAGAAGGTTTAGTCTATTATCAGGGTATAGTGTTATATATATATATTTATAAAATAAAGCTTGTTGATTATGTTATTTTAGTCCTCCAAGCTCTCTTGTGATCTGAATGATACTGAGAGTAGTATGTTAAATTCTCCTACTATTTAAATGTCTCATTATTTTTCTACTTCACATCCTGCAGCATCTATTTTGTCTATGGATCTACATTGATAAAAACATTGAATTCTGAAGGAATATTTTTAAATAACCTAGTTTTTTGAAGATTATCTACTAAAGCTTATCTGCTAAAGTTTATCTACCCCAATTTAAAAAATAACAAAGATGGACAGTTTGTGATTGATATTTTTATTATTTCATAAATATGGCATTTTAATATTAATTTTATTCAGAAGCATCCAAAATACATAAAAAATGGCCAAAACAACAAATGTTGAATTTTTATTGGAAATATAGCATTTCACACAGAAATATTTCAATTTATTCATTTATTTACTTATTTTTTGTGACAGTAGGGATTGAATCTGAAGCACTTTACCACATCCCTAAGCCCTTTTTAATTTTTACTTTTGAGACAGTGTCTCTATAAGTTGCAAAATAAGAATTACCGTTACCTAGTTTTTTGGGTTTTTTTATTGGTTATTCAAAACATTACAAAACTCTTGACATATCATTTTTCATACATTCGATTCAAGTGGGTTATGAACTCCCATTTTTACCCCAAATACAGATTGTAGAATCACATCGGTTACACATCCACATTTTTACATAATGCCATATTAGTAACTGTTGTATTCTGCTACCTTTCCTATCCTCTACTATCCCCCCTCCCCTCCCCCCATCTTCGCTCTCTACCCCATCTGTTGTAATTTAATTCTTTCTCTTGTTTTTTTTTTCCCCTTCCCCATCAAATTCTCTTATATGTAATTTTTCTTTAAAGAGAGAGAGAGAGAGAATTTTTTTAGTATTTATTTCTTAGTTTTTGGCGGACACAACATCTTTGTTTGTATGTAGTGCTGAGGATCGAACCCAGGCCGCACGCATGCCAGGCAAACGCGCTACCGCTTGAGCCACACCCCCAGCACTTATATGTAATTTTGTATATCAATGAGGGTCTCCTTCCATTTCCATGCAATTTCCCTTTTCTCTCCCTTTCCCTCCCACCTCATGTCTCTGTTTAAAGTTTTTTGTTTTTAAAGAGAGAGAGAGAGAAATATTTATTTTTTAGTTTTCAGCAGACACAACATCGTTGTGTGTATGTGGTGCTGAGGATCGAACACGGGCCGCACGCATGCCAGGCGAGCGCGCTACTGCTTGAGCCACATCCCCAGCCCCTCTGTTTAAAGTTGATCTTTTCCTCCTGCTCTTCCTCCCTGCTCTGTTCTTAGTTGTTCTCATTATATCAAAGAAGACATTTGGCATTTGTTTTTTAGGGATTGGCTAGCTTCACTTAGCATAATCTGCTCTAATGCCATCCATTTCCCTGCAAATTCCATGATTTTGTCATTTTTTAGTGCTGCGTAATACTCCATTGTGTATAAATGCCACATTTTTTTTATCCTTTCATCTATTGAAGGGCATCTGGGTTGGTTCCACAGTCTAGCTATTGTGAATTGTGCTGCTGTGACCATCGTTGTGGCAGTATACCTGTAGTACGCTCTTTTAAGGTCCTCAGGGAATAGTCCGAGAAGGGCAATAGCTGGGTCAAATGGTGGTTCCATTCCCAGTTTTCCCAGGAATCTCCATACTACTTTCCAAATTGGCCGCACCAATTTGCAGTCCCACCAGCAATGTACAAGAGTACCCTTTTCCTCACAACCTCTCCAGCACTTGTTGTTGTTTGCCTTCATAATGGCTGCTAATCTTACTGGAGTGAGATGGTATCTTAGGGTGGTTTTGATTTGCATTTCTCTGACTGCTAGAGATGGTGAGCTTTTTTTCATGTACTTGTTGATTGATTGTATGTCGTCCTCTGAGAAGTGTCTGTTCAAGTCTTTGGCCCATTTGTTGATTAGGTTATTTGTTATCTTATTGTTTAATTTTTTGAGTTCTTTGTATACTCTGGATATTAGGGCTCTATCTGAAGTGTGAGGAGTAAAAATTTGTTCCCAGGATGTAGGCTC